CGTCTTGCTCGAGCTATGCGGTGGGACGCCCTTCTCGTAACAAGGGTTTTGCACTAAATCTCAAAAGAAATCTAACACAAGAAATTAAACACAAGGTTCGACTTTTTCATTAATTCAAGACATGACATTTTCGAATGACAATGGGGCATATTTATAGATGCCAAACTAAGTCTAATCCTAATCTAAGAAGAACTCCTAATGCTTTGGAAATAAATAAAGTCCTAAGGAAACTAAATATCTAATGCATAAAGACTTACCGTACTACTAGGATACTATTAGGCACATGCCTTTTATTCCAAATCCTAACCATACTATGATTCCTAATTATGCTAAGAAAATCGGCCCTTGGCCATCTAGAAGCTTCACGCGTTTCTCGCCTTGACCAAACCCTATCTACGACGGCTAGTCCTTGTCCTTCGAGGTCATGGACTCCATCACACCCCACGCGTCCCACGCGTTTTCTGCTATTCGCCCCAAGTCGCGCGGTTCATCCCTAGGCGGCGCGGTACTCCTAGTCCTCCGAGGACTCATGCTTGCCAGTCCTTGTGCGTCGCGCCTCATGCACCCACCAGCTGTCCTTCGCGCGTTGCCGCACCTGACCCCATTGTCTAATCCTTGTCCAACGAGGCTTAGTGGCTGTCCGTGCATAGCCTCGTTCCTCGCACTTCGGCGGTGCTCGACCCAACTAGCTTCGATCTGCTCATACCTCGATCTGCTCGACACCTCGACCATGCGCGTCCTCGACTCTGCGAGCACCATCCATCTGTCCGTCTTGTTGCCTGATCGACCTAGCGAGTGTCGACCACGTGACAGGCCCATTCGAGCTCGCGATTGTCGATCATCCGAGTGTCGACCACCCGATCTTCCTGTTCGGCCCATTTGGCTGTGACCCCTCATACCACATGCTCGTATTTGCTGGCTCGACCCTGTCGGCTTCCCGGGTCTCGACCATACATGCCTACGCCAAGGTGCGTGTTTGCGTCCCTGTCGTCGGACCATCTCTCGCATGGCCCACACGTTGGTCCCTACTGCTCTTCCGTGGCCGGTCGCGGTGCGCGCTAACCACCCAACATCCTCCCCTCGCGCACGTTCGCGAACCTCCTTTGCATGGCCCTGGTGGTCGTTCCGACCTTTATCGCGCCACTTTTCATGACTCGAGTGCGGCTCTTCCTCGGGCTCGGATAGGTCGATGACCACATCCTCATCACCGTGCCGCGTCGCAGAGGCCAGGCAGTTCCTCTGTCCGTGCCCGCGCCTAGCGCTCGCGAGGCACCACAGTGATGAAGAGGTGGG